TCTGCACTAGACTGGAGTCCAGTCTCTTTCTTTCTCTCTCTCTCTCTTTCTCTCTTCTTTCCCTCAATCGCCGACGCCGTCTCCACCTTTGGGGTGCCCTGAACCCGGCTGGAGCTGGACTCCGGCAACGTGTCACCACTTTCACCTCCTGCTATCATCCTAGAATAAGCCACTGTCATATCTGATCACCGTGCCCAGTTAATTTTGATTTATTATAGACACGAGGTCTTGCCATGTTGCTCAAGCTGGTCTCGGACCCCTGGGCTCAGGCAATCCTCTCGCCTCTGCATCCCAAAGTGCTGCAATTACAGGCATGAGCCACCGTGCCCAGCTAGTTTATTTCTGAATTCAGAATTCAGAGAGACAAAACCTAGCACCTGACATTTCTGGAAGTAGTCTGCTTACTCCTTAGGTTTCACAGTCTGTTTTTGCAAATTTAGGGTTGCTGGTACCTACTGATTGACTATGTGACTGAGAGAGCATCATATAGAACTTAAGGTACAGTTGTATTTTGTCAATAGTGACATTTATGGTCCACATTTTCTGGTACCAGTTACCAGGGATAACCCACAGTGTTATCAATAACACCAAACAGAGGAGTTGATTAAGCTTGCCATAGAGTAAGGGAGATAAAAGCATTTACTATTTACTATTGCAAAGTAAAACATTATTCTCTACAACATACTGTTAGTAGTTGTAACAAACAAAAAGCTATACAATTTAAGAGACTCATGGTTACATGGGTATGAGATTTTTCAAATCTATATCTACTGATAAAAGGAAGTGAATAAACTTTCATTTCTCTTAGTTGAATGAACACAGTCTGCAGGGGAAATAAGGGTTCCTTGAAGAGGCTTATGGGGAATGTATAGGAGATAAGGGAAAACATTTTTCTTTGCTAATTCTCAGGAATGTAGGTACGTGCAGACCCACTGGAACACTCTATGCCTTTCTTTAAGTGTTGTGGCAATATGGACAGATAATAGTGGATTTCCATATCCCCAGGTCTTTTTTTGTTTGTTTTGGAGACAGTCTTGCTCTGTTGTCCAGGCTGGAGTGCAGTGGCATGATCAGCTCACTGCAGGTTCAAATTCCTGGACTCAAGCAATCCTCCCACCTCAGCCTCTCCAGTAGCTGGGACTACAGGCACATACCACAATGCACAGATTGATTGATTGATTGTAGAGATGAGGCCTCTCTATGTTGCCCAGGCTGGTCTTGAATTCCTGGTCTCAAGTGACCCTCCTACCTGGGTCTCCTAAAGTGCTGGGATTATATGTGTGAGCCACCATGTCCAACTTGCTCTAGATTAATCAGGGTAATGCAATCCAAAACCAAGTTGAAGCCAGGCTTGGTGGCTCAGCCTGTAATCCCGCGCCTTTGGGAGGCTGAGGTGAG